TGCTTTAAAGAAACATTTGAAAGTAGTTGAACCGAGATCAAATTCAATTTCGGAAAAAAACGTGTTTGGAAGTGTGCTCTTTGATGCAGATTGCAGCGATTCACAAATTGTGCTCTGGTGTGATTAACTGTTTGAATTATTAATATCCTCTTTCTATCTAGACTTCATCACATCATCTGGATGTTGGCCTTGGATTGAAGATATTCTTCATTCTGATTTAGATGCATAGCAGTCAACTTACACTAATGTCCAGTAAACCTGTTTACCTTCTGAGATGCATCAAATGTGGTAATAGAGAGGGCATTCATAATATTAGATGTAAGATGCTTTGATTATGCGTATAAGTGGTATGTGTGCATGCTTTTTTCTGCTCTAAGAAGGAGGGTATTGGTTCTTCCTCTATTAAGAAGTCCAGTGTGAATTCCCCTATTGAAAAGGTTCCATCAAAAGATGAATTTCGAATACATAAACTAAGCTCAGTCTCCAGGTCAAACATTTCTTCAAGTTGAGTTGGCAGACAGCTTCTTAAAATGGCACCTCTTGGTCTTGGCATCCTTCAAAATGAATCTGATTTGGAAAATGTTAGTCTGTTCTTACTAGAAGTTGCATGTCATATTCCCTAGTTCAAGGGGCCAGATGTTAGACATGATAATCTAAGTACTTTGGCAGGAACATGGAAGTATCATTTTCTCTTTTTGAGTTGATTTTTCAAATATGCTATTTATTTGCTAATTTGTGATCTCTGAGGTCCTTGGATTTTGTCCCATCAATAGTTTCTTCGTACTGTAAGCTGCAAAAGATCTGGTGCATGAAGTTCACAGGAGAAACATAAATGACTTTCATGCTTCTGCGTAGATGCTATGAAAATATTGAGACCTCTAGCTTTCTATGAGGGTGTCCATTTCACCGTCTTATGTTTGGGGTGTTCATAGACTACACATTCGTTTTGAATTTGTTTTGAAGAAGAATCAGGGAAAAACTAATTTGAAGCTATGGTGGCACTTATCAAACACCCCTGATTCTCCAAACATGTGTCACAATCAAGGGGGAACTCGATTCTTGACCTTTTGGAAAGCCATAAGATCTAGATAGTTTGTTCGGTTTATTTGAAGGTTGGTTTGTTGCTTCAGTGTCTGAGGTCTTCGTACTTTGGACCATATGTATACTTCTGAAGACAGAAGAGCAGTAGTTCTTCAAACAACCTAGTGAAAACAATGAAGTATCTTACTTATCAGATTTTTTTGGTTGATGATATACTGTGTTAGATTAGTTCTTTGGCATCTTAGTTGTCCACTCCCTTGGCATTGTATTTAATATGCTGAAGCTGGATTAAGATATTGAAGGTTGGCTTCATCGTCTTTGGTGGCTTTCTAGTCAACAGTTGAAGAGGGGGAAGTTGAAATGTCCGTAGTTGGTGGATGTTCATAATATAGATTAGTTGAATTGATGCTGGAAAGGTAGCTGAATGAAGATCATTGTGTTGCATAATAACTGAAATTAAATGTTTATGGGAAATCTAACGCAAAAGAGCTCCTCAAAAAAGGTGTCTTACAGCTGTGAGATAGTTTGATCTATCACCTATGGCTTAGATATACTTCTTCCATACATTTACTTGGCACTCATGGTTGGAGTGAGTGAAGAAAAGTATGTGGCTTTAAATCAGATCAATTGGCATTGTCAAGAATTTACCTGAGATGTCAGAATGCCTTCATATTTGTTGTTTTGTGTTTGCTGTTAATGCTACCGACTTCATTGGGTTCATTTTAACCGAGTCAACCTAATGGGATTGGGGTCAGATGATTGGAATCTGCAGGACTGCAGATTCTGCTGCCCAAGTAAGACTTCTTTGCTGTTTTAAATGTATTGTCATATATAATATCTTTCTATTTTGGTGTAAATAAGTAGGTTTAGAGGATATAGATCAGTTTGTAGATTTATTAAAATCTCTCCAAGTATCTTCTTTTCTGTTTGTTTTTTTTTAACTAAACTTGTTGATGGTTTCCAGTTCAAAAAAAAAAAAACTTAGTTTTAAGTTCCTCTTAAGAAATACACTTTAATTTCCAGGCCTTGCTCAAAAACATGTTGATTCAAGATCCTCCAGTCTCATCTTGTGATATGATTGAGACAACGTATTGCCGTCTCTTTTTCCTACTTTATTTTAATTTCCTCCATTTGTGCCATTGTTGCATGCATAATTATAAAATTGTATTTAACTTGAGACCTGAAGTCCCTATCATGAATTAAGTTAACAAAGTATTTTGAAGTTGAATGCTGAATTGCCCAAGCAATCAAAAAATGGAGCTGCTACTTGATAGCATAAGTCTTTTTTCCGGTAGAATAATTGAGAATGTTTAACTCTAATCACTCATAATAACTTGTATTTTGTCTGGTTGTTAAGGGTGGTTAGGAGGGAAGGGAGCATCATAGGTAAGCTTTATGAAAGAATTGTAGATAATATATTTTTGGTAAGCGAAAATATTTTTGCTGATTTTTCATCCCCAAGACAGTAGTTTCCTGCTACAACAGTATCAAGGACTTGAAGTCTTACAAAAATGCAAGGAATCTCAATACATGATCTAAATTATGTGTAGCGTTTCTACATCGGCAAAAAGTACAGGTATAAGTTTTACAAATGAAAACTCATAATTGAGGATGACCTGAGTTCAAGGGGAAAAGGTTGAGGGGCTTATAACTTAGGTCACATGTTTGAGCCCTATGCCATGCGAACTAAGCCTTTTATTTAAATTGGGAAGTGTGGAGGGGCGACCCATTTTCCCCGAGTTTTGAAGGCTGCCGCTGGTCCTCAATGATGGCCCCAGACGGCGTTCTCGGTCATAAGAAGAAGCCATAAGGATTTCTTAACTTATGGCTTTTCTCAGTCATAAGAAAAAAAACTTAAGTTATGAATGATTGAGGATTTTGTAGCAATGGGAGAAATTTGAAAAACTTACCTAAGAAAGTCAATTATTCCCTTTCTTGTAAACAAAAAACTGTGAAATTTGTCTGTCTTCAGATCACTATATGAAGATTGATGCATGGGTGTCAAAAAACCTTTTTCTTTTTTGTCTGAAGACTAATATTTTGATACCCTATTGTTGATGGAATTAGTTGAGCTACGCGCAAGCTGGCCCGGACACCTAAGTTATCAAAAAAAAAAAATTGACACTATTATGAGGGGCCCCAACATGAACTATTCTAAATTCTTGAAGGTTGTGTCATTCTTAACGTTTCGTGCCTATTTATTAACTCAAGAGTAACAGTCTTCAAATAGCTTTGATTTCTTTAATTCTATCTTGGTCCAATCATGTCTTGGTATATTTGTGTAGGAGATAGGTTATTATTTTGGGAATGTGGGAAGGAGTAAAAAGGTTAACGATACTGCCTCTTCTTTTCTGAATTTTTGTGATGGTTCACTGTGATAAAGATTGAGTTCCTGTGTTTAAATTGGTTATGTTGAGCAGTTTTTTTCCCTCAGAATTTGAGTTCCCGTGTTAAAAATTGGCTGGGTTGAGCAATATTTTCTGCAGTATCATTCTGAATGGAAGCTGTCTTGTTATGCTGATTGAGACACTTCCCATTATACATGTATTCAGCCACGATGTGTTAGCTATGCCTCAGTCCCAAACAGGCTGAACAATTTGAACTAGTATTAAAATAAAGGAGCTCAAAACATTTCTAGTCTTTCAGATATGTAGTTTTTCCATTTGATGCTCTAGATGTGTAGTGAAAAGAGTAAATCATAATGTCCGGGCAATATAATGCTCATCATCAGTTTGATTAATTCACACTTGTATATTGCATGGGGTTCAAAGAACTCAGCTCTTCTGTTTGATGTATGTTTTCTGGCAGTAGTTTCTGATTTTTTTCCCCTGTAGGTTATGCTGGACAGAGACACGGGCCGCCCTCGTGGATTTGGGTTTTTAACATTTGCAGACCGCCGAGCAATGGAGGATGCAATAAGAGAAATGGATGGTGCAGAGGTTGGTGATAGGGTGATATCGGTGAACAAGGCGCAACCAAAGATGGGAAGTGAGGATCCTGATCATGGCTATGGTGGAGGTTACATATCAGGTGGCAGGGCGAGCTATGGTGGGGGTAATAGGTCAGTTGGGCAAGACACTTGCTTCAGCTGTGGTCGCCCTGGCCATTGGGCTAGAGACTGTCCATTGGAAGGAGGTGGCCGGGGTGCTCGACCACTAACACCCCCTTCTCGTTCTAGGTATGGTGGCACACGTGGGGATAGGTTTGGAAGTGACCGTGATAGGTACATGGATGACCGATATGATAGAGGGAACCATGCTGATAGGGAGCGCTATGACAGCAGATATGAGAGTCGTGATCGATACGCTAGCGACAGGTATATTGTTGTAAGAACTGAATAAAATGCAGTGGTATCACAATTTTGAGCGGAAGTTTGTTAGCGAGCCTGCTTAGCTTTCAGATTATAAATAATCGAGTAATTGTTTGAGAGTGTTAAAAGTGTGAAGTGGTGGCTTGTTTTCTCACCAAAAATAACTTGTATTCTTATCCTAGGTACCCTCCTGGAGGCGATCGCTTGGGCAATAGGTATGGGAGTTCTGACCGCTACCCTCAGAGTGGCTATGGCAAAGAAAAAGGGTTTGACAGAGATGTGGGTGGAAGATATGAAGGTGGAGGACCAGCACGATATGAGGGAAGAAGCTACAGAGATAGAGCAGGACCTTATGATCGCCCTGGAAGGGGAGGACGTCCACCTTCCTTTGACCGTTACTGAGATGAATAAGCACATACATGTTGAACTTTAGTTGATCTCTGTGGTAGTATGGTGGGTACGGAGCACACACTAGGATAAATGTGTGGAAGCAGTTAGTAGTGCATGAGTGACAAGTAGAGTAAATGAGCAGAGCTATGTTTTTTCAGTGAATATTGTATGCTTTATAAAAGAGGGAGCTTCCTCTATTGGAATGCATTATGGTATTTGCACTTATAATAAACAGCTGGAGGAGCGCATGCAATGCATGAAGGCAACAACTAATCTCTGATATTCCAACCAATCAACTAATGTACAAAATGTTGAATAATAATAATAATAATAATAATGTGGTGGTGACCCTAAAATGCTATAGCAAGTGTAAGAATGGTTTTGATAATTGAGTGGTGATAGTTATGATGTACAAAGTGAGAAGAATGAAAAAGGAGAATAAGATAGGGGTGGTTGTTGGTGGTGCTGCTGCAGATGCACCAGTACCGCTGAATATCATTCCGAACAAGTCGACACTGCCGCTATTGGACTGGTCATGACCCCTGCCGCTTCCTTCACTAGTGCCGCCGCCCACTTGGGGTAAGATGCTTATGCTATTGTCCCTGTTTTATATAAGCTTTACAAGTAAGAAAATGCAGCTGCTATGGCAAAAATAAATATACTGCCATCAGTTTTTAAGTTTTATCTAACATGAACTGCTGCTAGCAAGTAAAATTCTATGATAAGCACTAATTGATGAGTAGCGTGATAAGTTTAAAATTTTCATGCTTTTTGGACGTAGACTTCAATTATGATTTAAAACATTGTGTGTAGACGTGCAATCTGAATATCAAAAGTTATTGTCAAAACTTTTTTGAATATGAGTTAAACAGGCCATTTGGAGGAGCTGTTTTTGGGATTGGGAAGGGAGGCTGTGAATTTTACGAAACAATTACATGTCTAATAAATATGGATTGGTAACCTAGGGAGTAAACTAGGCTTGGATAATTTTTTTTGCAATAAATATACATCTGCAAATTTGAATATGAGTCAACATTTTAATCTGCACTTTCATGTGACACATCTAAGGCTACAAGTTTAAAAGGATATTTTAATATGTTTGACATAAATTTAAATTAAAATTGCAAAAAGTAAAAATTTTATTCGTATTAGTGGAAAAGCATGGAGCAGCAGAGGTCTCACATGCATGTGGTCCTCATCTGTCCTCTGCCCTACCACTCTTATTAGCCAGAAAAATGAAAGATTCCAATTTCCACCGAGTCGTGTCGTTTGGTTGGAATAGGATGCAAAATATTTTATTTAATATAATTTCATTGATTTTTTTAATTCAGTATTATAGGCACATAATTAATATTAATTTATGTATAACTATGCCTAAAGACAGCTGTAGGTAATAATAAGTACATTATTAATCTCAACATTACATTTTATTCAACTCTATTTTTATATACTGTACCAGACAAACCTTGTCATCTAAAAGTTCATAATATTTTATAAGTTTAAACATTTCCAGGAGAGTAATAACTGAAAATAAAGACAGCCTTTGCATAGCCACACATACTCCCTTTTTTTAAAAAAATGTCTGTCAAGTCAGCTAACTTTTTTTTCTAGTGATAAAAATGTGAAAGACACATCTATAATCATACGTGCTATTTCCTTTTGTGAAATTAACAAGTTTTTTAAGTGGACTAAAAAACAAGTGAAGACTACAATGGGCTGAACATGTAGTGGCCGGCGGGCCCCTACAAGGGGTTTTCACTGTCCCACATAATCACGTGAACACGCAAACCTTTATACTACACTTTACACTTTTTTGGAAAAATAAATTTCCTCTAAATAAACTTTCTAAACTTCAAATCATAATTTGAAATCAGTCTATGAATCAATCAAGGCCATCTGAAGAAGTGATTTTCTCTTATTTGTTTAGGTTTATCTATTTAATTATTACCAGAATCTATGTGTTGTTGATCGATCCCAATTGTGGATAGAAAGATGAGTCCAGCTGGTGCAATTTTATCTGTCAGCTATATTCATTTTAGTTTTAGAGGTACTACTTTTTAATTTGTTCAGGTGGTCTGGTGTGTATGGATCGATTTCACTTCTTCACAGAAAGGTAGTATAATTTTCAAGAAAATAATTATCGAGTTTGAAAGTAGAAGTACCTGGGGCCACCAAGGACACCAGCATTGGCGGTGAGCTGGTTGATTAGAAGGGCGGATTTGGGATCAACGCTGTAGGCTTTGGTATATTGGTTGCTAAGGCCTTGCCCTGAAGGCACAAAAAATGCGCCATTAACCATAGTGTCCCCGTCCGTCCTCCAATTCCATTCATCCCACTGCCCATTGTCTGTGTCCTCCCGCTTCGTCACCTACACGTAATTAATTACAAATCAATCTCTCTCTACTTGAAAATATTGAAGTTAAAGGGATTAAATACATTCACTTTTCAGCTTGGATTTATCTTTATAAGTGAGTAATTATTAGCTCTTAAAAGTTTGATTCTCAATTATAGTTTCAAGTTGGAACTTTAATGGTGTAACAATTCGGGTTGACATATATTTTTTAAAATAATTAAAATTTCATTTTTTTCCTTTTATAAAATGATTGTCAGTCAGTCAGCCGAGCACCAATAAATTGACTAGGGTTCCAAATGCAACAATTATAACCAAAGTATGTCCTAGAAAAAACAACTTTTTACCAGTAGCCCCAAATTAAAAAGGATTGAGAATCTTTTTTTGAATGAGAAAGGAATAACATGGTAAAACCCCGATTTTGTGCAAACTACGCACGAAAGTAGACAAAAATAATTGAGGTTCTAAATGCACAATTATTCCCAAAATATGTTCAAGTACCCAAATTAAAAAGAATTTGAGAAATTTACCTCCTTCAAATTTGGATCATCGGGAGCAGTATATCGATTTCCTTGACTGTTAATGGTAGGATTAGCACTTCCACCAATTGCATACATTTGCCAGTGTGTGAAATCGTTGTTCACCACATGTACATATCCTCTTCTAATTCTTGGCATTCTTTGCACTAATCCTTCTCCGAAATGATTGAATGCAATTGTCACCTAAACAACAATATCTCACAATTACTTACTAAAACCCAGAGAGAGAAAAACACAAAGAGGAAAAATCAGTAATCAACCTGCATTCCTGAATCAGGCAAGTATTTATCATCATGTCCCAAGAGCATAACATCATCATGATGACTAAAATAGTTATTCGATATAGTAATAGCAGTAGACCCCATGATTGCATCAATCAAACCGTCGGTACAATGAGATAATGCACAGTGATCAATCCAGATATTATGAGATCCAAAGATGGATATACCATCACCGTCCGATTTGCCTCTCCACCCAACATGCGTTGGGCTCGACCGTATGTTAGTATTACCCGAAGGGACACAATTGTAAATATGAACGTTATGTATAATCACATGGCTCACATACTGTAATGTAATACACCCATTGCCGGTGATGTGAACATTTGCTCCCCGTCCGTCGATGGTCTTGTAGTTGTTGATAATAAGCTCGTGCTTTAGCTTTATAACCATGTCTGCTGCAAACACGATCCAAAGAGGCTCCTCTTGAACTACGGCGTGACGGAGCGTGCCCGGAATTGGGTTGACTGTGTCTCTGTCGGAGGAGTCTCTAACTACGTAGATCTGACCTCCTTTCCCACCCATTGCACTCTGACCGAAACCAATGGAGCAGTCTGCTAGCCTTTGCCGGTCTTTGGCCCAGTTTGGGTCGCATTGCCAGCAATCATCTATTGGGTTTCCTGTACTGTGACATTTGCTATCTCTTACAATTGTCTGGAATAGTAATCTGGACTCATTAACCCTCCTGTAACAGAAACAAGCTATGAATGAATAAACATGGAATTTGATAGAAAATAATGCAGATATTTAGTTACCTGTGAAGTTGGTGAACAACAGATTCAGGATAAGGGTGTTGGTTTGGAAGGGTAAGATTGAGTTGGGAATCAATTAGAGGTGAGAAGAAGGAGAGAATGAGGTAGATAAATAAGAGAATGGGAGTGGCAGGAGGCATCTTTGCCCTGTAAAACAAACTCTGGGAAGACATATTTTCTTCTTTGAAATGCTTGCTGCTATAATAATGGAGTATTGTCAGTAATTAGGGTTTTGGACATACTCTACATTGGGGGTGATGACTATGATGTTCACACTATATTGAAGGATGGAGGACGGGAGAGAGCACTTTTATTTCTCTTCTCCTACCTAGGCTCCCTCACTCTCTAATCTCTATTTAGGGGGTCTTCAAACCAAACACACGGCATTTCATTTAATTTTCTTCATCATTGATGGCACTATATTTTACTATAATATCATAAACTTTATTGCATTTTTGTGTTATTTCGTTCGGAAACATTATACTCCCTCTATTTTTATTTATTTCTCAATTTTCTATTTCATACATTTATTAAGTATATATTGAGTTTATTATTTTATGCTTATTAACCAATAGAATTCTAAAATTAATTTACTCATTACAGAGATTTTACTATTTTAAAAATATTATTTTTTTAAAATAAATTGAAAGTTTAATAAATAAAAAAAGATACTATTTTTTTCTTAATGTATGCTCCCTCCGTCTATAATTGTTTGTCACCTTAAAGGTTATGTATTCTCCTTGAGGAAAATTTTATACTAATTTGACTAATATAATTTTACTATAACAAAAATATCAAAAGTCCATATAATTTTTCAATTGAACAAAATGAAGTAATTTTTTAGAGATAAAATTAAAAAAAAATTTAATTCATTCTTATTTAAATTAACAATTAATGTTAAACACTTATTTTTAATATATCTATCAAATAATTATAAATAATGAAAGTGAAAAATAACAAGTAAAACGGAAAGAACAGAAAGTCAAAATTCCACCAGTAAAAGGAACAAAGGGATATATAAAAAAATATTGTTACTCGTTTTGTGTTGTGGAAACCTTACAAAAAAAAAGAATCAACAAACCAAACAAGAAAAAATGAGATAAAAAAAAATCCAAAATTTGTAAATAATGTGGTTTAATAAAAGTGAAAGTCAAGGGCATCTTTGATACTTCAATTTGTGAACTAAAAGCCTGTTTGGCTCAACTTAAAAGTTGATCAAACTGACTTAAAAGTTGGTTTTTGACTTATTTAATTGTTTGGCAATACTCAAAATAACTTATTTTAAGCCAAAAGTTAAAAGCTGGGGTAGGAGTGTTTTTTTTTTTAGCTTATAAGCTGTTTTAAGTTGACCATATTTTTATTTTTTTGCCTTTAATATTTTTATACAATCTCCAAATTACCCATATAACCCCAACATCTCTTTCTTCCATTTTCCCCTTTTCACGTTTGACATAACAACTTCAGCACTTTTATCCAAACGCATAACTGCTTATTTTAAAAATAAGTTTCAGCACTTTCAAAAGTACTTTTTTAAAGCTGCTTTTATTAAGCTCATCCAAACGGGTCCTTATTTATGATCGGATCCGATCTTCTTTTTTTAAAAAAAAAAAAGTAAAAAGGATCTAAAATATGAAAGACATAAAAATATTAAAGAGAATTCAATATTTATTCTAAGGAAAAAAATTAAAATATATTTGAATTTTTATTGTATTATGTAATAATCTCAAATTTTGAGGACATATTAATCCTGCACTATTTAATAATTATTTTAAAGATTTATATATTACTATTTATAACGATACAATATTTATGGTGTTCACGTAGACACACACACACACACACACATATATATATATATATATATATATATATATATATATTCAAAATATATTGTTAAATATTATAGAGATAAAATTCCTTTGATATTTATTAAGCAATTTGAGTCAAAATTCAAATATATTTGATATATTTTTCTCTTTATTCAATTACATGGTATAATTTTATGTGGTAAAGGGTTTTGAATAGACCACCTCAGCTCTACTTGATTCTGCCCTTTGACATGAGTTGTTGTGCTCTACCCTGTGTATGTTAGATGTTTGACAAGTAAATGGAACTCTTTTTGTTTTTGTTTTTCTTGTTACAAGGTAATTTGATGATGTTAAAAAAATATGTGTTTTAGACTTTTAAATTTAAGGGGTTTTATTTTAAAAAGTTAATAGGTTATAAATTACTAGGTTTTTAACAAATATTGAATACTATTTGTAGAAAAAATAAAATTTTTATGAAAAATGAAGGAATTATTAGAAAAAATTGACACATTTGGAGTATAATATCTCATGAAAAAAAATTTAAAATAAGAACGGAAAAAGGCCCAAAATACTCTCAAAGTATTGAAAATGGTACAAAATTACCCTCCATCCACATATTGGCTACAAAATACCCTTCCCACCCACCTATTTGGTCCAAAATACCTTTGTCGTCCACCTTATGGTTCAAAATTGATCACTTATTTAACGATTTTATATTTAAACTATTTAAATATTTTTTAAAATATGTGACGCTCAACTTTTTGTTATAATTTAACTTATTTGTATAATTTATAAATCAATCCACTATCCACCCATTACTAATTAAATCCCTCTAAATTAATGAACCCATCACATTATTAATGCAAGCTACTGCCAATTGTGTGTTTTTAAAAATTATAGAAGTAAATTATCATACATTCAAGTGGCTAAATAAAAATCACCGATAAACTTAAAAGTCTGACTATGTTCATCTTAATTATTCTTACGTCTCAATTATGTGATGTTACTTTATAGGTAACTTTTTTTCAAAATAATATATTAAAGGTTTTAAAACAAATCATAAATATTTATAAAATTTTATTTAAAAAATTCATGAATTAATTCGGGATGTATTACTTCTTTAGCTTTAATCATAAATTTCTAATTCAATTTTGAAAGAAAGTGTCCTCCTAAATAAGCGACTCAACCTAAATTTAATTGGGGCTTCGATTCAGACTCGAATAATTTTGAATGTCATTTTCAGGAATCTATAATTTTATCGTGTTTTAGTAGTGTTTATGACGATTTTGATATTATAATTGAATTACTAATTGGGTGAGGTTTAATTAGTAATGAGTCAGTAGTGGGTTGGTTTACAAATTATATTAATAAATTATAATTATAATCAATAGTTGAACTCCAAGTATTTTAAAAAATATTTAAAGAGTTTAATTTTAAAACAATTAAAAAAGTGGTCAATTTTGAACCAAATAATGGATGACAAGGGTATTTTGGAGCCAATAGGTAGATGAAAAGGGCATTTTGGAGCCAATAGGTAGATGAAGGGTAATTTTATATTATTTTCAATACTTTAAGGACCCGTTTAGTAGGAGATATTAATCAAAAGAATCCATGGATTAAAATTTAGTCCAACAAAAACATTGTTTGGTTATTTTATTTAACCTAATCCATGAATTAGTTATACCTCATACAAGGTCTTATTTTATCCCTAGAAAAGGGAGGGATAGGTAATCCAAGGTTTGTTAAACCTTGGATAAGATCCCTAAATGACTAAACTAACCCTTTATTCTTTTTTTTTTTAAATTTCTTTTGTAATTTAATTTCCTTTTTATTTATATTAGGGTGGTTATCAATGTTCTTTTTTTATTCTCCAAATTTGTTTGGTGTAATTTAATGATTTTACTAATATTTTTTTTCCATTTTTTCTTGATTTTTTTTATATTCAAGATAATTTGCCAATTACCCACTTGAACTATTGTTTAAAAATAAAAATAAAAATAAAATAAGCTTTAGGTATTAACAATTTAAGTAGTCTTAAATCTATGTTAAGTTTAAGATATATACTTAACTCACAAAAAATTAGAAATACATTGCGTCATCACTGATCTTCTTAGTGGTACATCATACCTTAAAATTAATAACAATTTTATATATATGTATTTGATTTAACTAATTAAATGGAATAAATAATTCTTTAAAAAAGTTATCCGGTCCGGTAGTTATCTGCGTTGACTTAGTTACATGAAGTAAACACTCATAATAACACAAGAGTATAATAGGAAAGAATTTTTTTGTAGAATTATAAATTAAACACAAAATTAAGTGAAAAGTAGTGAACCAAACACTTGATAAAAAATAATCCTTGCATTACTAATTCACGCATTTGTCACGACCCAAATCGGATCGCGACTGGCAT